TTGATCTCAAACCATGGCTAAGGTTTGGGATCTGCATCTGCCCCTCAGTGTGAGTCTTGGTTCTTCCAAGTGCCTGAGCTCACTACCCAGCTTCCCTGAGCCCAGCCCCTCCCCTGAGAAGTGGGTGTCAGAGTAGAAGGTGGGGGAGAGGACATGTGCAAAGAAAGCATGACTCACAGGCCTGGGGTGACAGTCACACTGAACCAGGCCCTGAGGACTGGAAAACTTGTGGCCCAAGCTAATATCCCCTTATCAGAGCTGAAGAGGGGACAAATGTACAGTTCTGGGGCCAGAGAGACTGGTCAGACCCATAATAGCTTCTTGGTAAGGAAGTGAGGCCTCAAAAATGTCATTTGTTCATTATTTTGGTGAACACAGATTTCCAGGGCATTGCCTGTCTCCAGCTTTAGAACAGCTGGAGCGAAACCCTGAGGCAGGGGAGGAAGGATATTTCAGGGAAACAGGGTTAGGCATATTGGTTGGAAACCAGCCCGACATAGTCCCTGGTTGGACTCCTGTGGGGGCTGTCCCAGCTTTGACCAGGACAGTGAAATGACTTGGGGTAGTCCACAGGGCAGTGCACGGCTCAGGTCTCTACTCAAGGGGACCTGCTGCAGAGAGGGCAGTTAGCAGATCATGTCTTGAGTCACCCAGAACATAGGCTGAAGGGCCTTGTTTTCTAATGTGCATTTATGTTGGGAAAATGTACTTCCATAAACATGGACTATTTGAGACATGTGAAATACCTATTGTCTCAGTCTCTTCCTGCTGCCGTAACAAAGTACCTTATAGGGGGAAATGTATAAACAAAAGGCACTTATTTTTCACACTTCTGAAGCATGTGAAATCCATGATGAAGATGTAGGCAGATATGGGGACTGGAGAGGGCTGGCTCTCTGCTTCTAACATGGCACCTTGTGGCTGCCATGTCACGTGGCAGAAGGGACAGAAGTGATAAAAGGGACTGACACTGTCTTCACATGGCAGAAGAGAATCGGTAGATCCAGGCAGTTCCTTGACGCCTCATGTCATGATAACCTTAACCCCATCTAGAAGGCAGAGCCCAGGATTGCACCACTTCCTACAAACCCCTCCTCTTACCATCACCATGGTGTGTGTCTGTGGGGGCTCAATTCAGCGTCTGATACATACCCGGCACAGCCAGTGTGTTAATACAGTGGAAAAGAAGGCTTGAGTGTGGACATGACTTTTGGAGTAACTGATGAGCAGCATCTGTCCATGAGTCCCCAAACTCAGTGACATAGAGAGCAGTCCCCAATCCATAAGGAAGCTTCAGCTCTGCTCTGAAAGGAGGGACAGGAGGTGTGGGGTCAGTGTTCCAAGCCGGGCTGAAGGTAGAGCTAGTGTAATCCTCACTCTGCATAGACTAATTCTGTAACCTTGGGGAAAAGATCCAGAGTCCCTTGAACCTCGGTTCCTCATTCGTAGTCAGGGTGAATAACTGTTCCTGTGTCGTAAGTATGCAGGGAGTACTCAACAAGCATTGGTGAAAACTTCCTGTCAATGTTTGCTACTATAGTGTAGACGGGGAAACTGAGGCCCAGAAAGACTACAGGAGTTGACCAGTGTCAGAGAGAAAGTCCAGTCAGAGTCTAGAGCTCAAAGTTCCATGGTGACAACCAGGGACCTGAGGCCAGGATACCTGCTCCCCTTCATGCTGACAAAGCATGACCCCCTCAGAGCCCCGGAAGTCTATGCTGAGAAGGAAACTTGTCTGATGCAGGACTTCTAACTCTCAACCCCTCTAGGGATCAGCACCTTCCCCACCTCTCTATCTCATGACATCTGTGAGGACAGATTCATCTCTAGTGTTGTCAGGCCATGACTGTTGTCCTCTGCCTTGTTTGCCTTAGAGATCCTGGGGAGCCCCAGCTTCCTGGACTCCCCTGGCAGGGATGTTTGCCTTGGAGGAGTTGGATGGATGTGGTGGGATGGAGGGTGTCCCAGAGATTCTTAGTTGTCCATCACCAAGTGCCACGTTTCCCCAGAGCCTGGTCCCTCACCATTTATATATATAGCCCTACTTCCTAACCCTCTGGGAACAAACTGACAGAGATCAGAGCATGTGAACACCTCCCAAGAGAAATCCAGGTAACAATGCTGTGACTCGTTCCTCAACCTATTTTTTTAATTGCAATCTGAACCAGACTAGAGCTTTCAATAAATGTGATCTCTTGGAAATTATTTTTGGTGCTAGTACAGGAAATGAAGCTAGGGCAGTAATGAGAAGTATAGAGGTAGGCTGGTTTGGAAGGGTGTTCATCTTCATGCTAATAATATAACTGCTATAATCCAATGACTATGGCTTAGATCCAGCAAAAGAAGCGGGGAAAAGAGAGACCTATATTTCCCAACTGAGTCATTTTAAGAAACATTCTAGGGAAACCCAACCTAACCTTCTATTTATATCCTGTTTACCATGGCTGGTTGCAAATAAGGCTGGGAAAGATGATTTCTTTGTTAGGCACTGTCTGTCCTTGAAAATACAAAGATTATGTGCAATAAGAGAGAATAGGCAAGTGTCCTCATCTCTGCAAACTTCCATTTCCCTCTTTTTAAAATAAAATGCATCAACATTGTCCTGTTAGATAGAACGGTTGAAAGACTCTGTGATGTCCCCACACTTAGGACCCCAAGGTGCTCCTCTGGTCACCCCTCTCCTTTGTAATCATGCTAGTGTGTGCATGCACCAAAAATGCTATGGGAGCTTCCAAAGGCACTGTCAGGGCCAGGAAGAGATAAAGAGAAACTTCCATTTGAACATCCAAAATTAACTTCTGTTTAGTGGCACCAAGCTCAGCAATTTTGAAAATGCTTGTTGAATCCTTATAGTGACCTTTGTTAGAGAGATGCTGAGTGCAGTCTACACTGCAAGGCAAGAGAACTGTGTTGTAGTCACTGACTAATGCTCAGAGGAAGTGAAATCTTGCTGAGACTCATTTTCCTCTCTGTAAAATAGGTGTGGGGTGGGTAGGGATTAGTACAGTTGGCTTCTGTAGGTGCCTGAATCCCTTCAGCTTCACACAGAATCTCTCCAAAGCTGACTCTCCTGGCCTGGCATCACTGCAGGATCATCCAACAGTCGATGCTTGCCCTGTTGCTGGCTCAACAGTTGAGTATTTGTACCGCCTATAGATTCCCTATATTGTGAATTTTATTTTCTTGGCTTTCAGTCATCTCTTCATTTCTTGTTGGGTGCTACACACTACAAAGAAAAGTTGTACAGATTCTAAATTGGGTTGTAGTTGCCAAAGAGGAGGAAGACAGATTTCAAACAGACAGCAGGTGTTTAGACCCTTTGATCCTGCCGTGGCTTAGGTTTAGGTTTCAGTGGGTGCCTCTGGCTTGGCTTTGCTCATCCTTCACCCTCCCTAGTGTGGGAACCTTCATTTCCAGGGAGAGCCTTCTCCTAGAGAACAAAATACTGGGTCTTAATGGAAAGTCCACCCTGGATCCTGAGTCCCCAGCAGCACCAAGAGGAGGCACTACAATCTCTGCATAGCCCTTTCAAGTTCAGCTGTTTTCTGCCAGGGTCCTCAAAGTTTCACTTAGCACTGGGGTGGTTTAGAGCAGCCCAGTTAACTAAGGGAAGTGTTCTCACCAAATTTGGGGCTCCTAGTGTGTCATAACACACCCTCCAGGATTTTGAGGGCCTGCCACTATGGAGACCACACTTCCAGCCTTCTACCTCCACAGCCCAGTAGGACTGGCCCCTTTTGCCTGGACTCTGTTTTTCCACAGGCGTTTTAAGTAAATACCTCAGGCAAAGGTAGGGTGGACATGGAGTTCACCTTGGAAGTCCATTCTGCCAGGAGGCCAGGAGGTCAGCGCTGGTCCCTGGGTGGCCTGGGAGACCATGGACAGCCAGTGCTGGGAGCAACACTCTTTAAACTAGTGCTTTTTTAAAAAGACAAACTAAAGTTTTTGTCATGATTTCAAAATTCCTCCCCCTAAAGGAGGCAGGTTCTAAGGAAATCCACTTGATTGGCACAGGAGGCTACTGACAGGTAAGGTTACTATCATCTTCAGCTCCACCTGGGCAGTGCTGGGAAGAATGAGAAGTCCCTTTGTAGCAGTTGGCCTAGGCCTAGTTGTGAGGTCCACAACTCTCTGGGTCCCTGTCTTCTCACCTATGTGGTATCAGGGTGGAATAAAACCATGCAGAAAGCAAGCTGAGCAGTGCTGGGGAGAATGAGAGGTCCCATGGTAGGGAATGAAACCCCACAAATGAATGGGAGTCCTCATCCTCTAAGGAGAAACTTAGGAAGAAGCATACTCCCTTCCTCAACATCCCCTATGGGAAACAGCCTGTGACACCGGGAGGACATTCCAACCTGTGGTGTTGTTCCTAAGCTGAGCTCATATGCTACCTCCTCAGAGAGGTCTTTCTCTAATTCCCTGGCCTGAGGTCTCTCCCTGCACCCTCCCAGGGCACCCACCTCCTTACCAGAGGGCCCTGATGTATAGTCATGCTCAGGTGCAAGGATACTTGAACACTGTGGGTCTGCAGGTGGCTCTGACAGCTCCGGGGGAACAAGGACCCTGACTGGCCTCTCTGCGTGGATTCCCAGGGTCCACAATGGAAGTCACAGAGCACTCAGTGACTTTAGGGCTTCTGCCTGTTGAGTGAAGGACAATAAGGCCCACAGTCTGCACTGTCACAGCCTGGCTCCCTGAATGACCACCCTGCCTTTCTGCTTGTCCCTTTTCCCTCTGTAACCTCCATTGGTCAGAGTGGCTTAGGCAGTTGTGCTCTCCTTTGTGACAGTCTCAGCAGAGGTGGCTCCTTTTTTTTTTTTTTTTTCGGAGGTGGCTCCTTTGCACCTCGCACATGTCCTGTGCTGTGCCCTGCCCACCCTCTTGGATCTCTGGGACTTTGTGTCATCTTCTCCACCTGCTGCCCTGGGGAGAAGAGGAAGCTGAAGTTCAAGGAGATGAGGATGAGAATGGGGGTGACTGTAGGGCACGATTGTGAGTACGTTCCCCTTCTCCCCGCTCCAGCTCTGTGGGCTGCACTAGAGCCTTGTATCCCATGATCTTGTTCCCCTAATCAGCCAAGAGGCAGAGGCAGGAGGTGAACCCTGGTTCCAGGGACCTCAAAGCACCTGCTCTTCACTGTACCTGATTCTGTATCACTTTTGCTCCAAATCCAGTGCTCACCCTAGGCAGGGTCCTCTGTCCCCCAAGTCTTCCCTCAAGTGTCAAGCATCAAGCTCTGACTGACTCCATCCTTCACATCATTGTGTCATAAGACTCTGGGTCTTGAGATCACAGTGTTGAGGAGGCGGGACTTACACAGTCCGCTCCACCATGCTGAGGTGGCCAAAGATCCAAGGACAATGTGTTGGTGCCTTTCAATGGTACCTGTTCTTCGCTAACTTTCTTTAAAAAAAAAAAAAAAAGAAAGGACAAAATTGTGGCTGGTTATATAAGACCCAGAGTCCTAGAAAAGTCCACTTGAAAGTAATTGATATTTTACAAACATCCCCAAGGACAGCCTGCATACTAAGAAAGGACTTCAAATAGAGGGAGAGCCGGCACCCTGAATCTAGCTTTCAGCACCATCTCTTACAGAGGGTGCATTGCCAAGAGTGAGGCAAGGCTGCGGTGACATTTGCAAAGTTTGTGCTGTCTGCTCTATGAGTGGGACTTTACATCTCCTTCAGTGTTGGGGGAGAGCACAGAGTCAGTGGCAATCACCTTTGTGTCCTCTCAGGCCTGTGGGCGAGGAGGAACAGAGGTAGAAAACATGATCTCAGAGGGTCTGGTGTCTATGCAGGAATTATTTTTGCTCTGTGTGTGATTGAAAACTGGAAAGCTCAGAGTAGGCTGAGTGGCATGGCCTGAATTAGTTTTCTAATGCTTGCTAGGGCTGCCATGAAGACAAAGGGGAGTGGTGGTGGCCAGTGCCGAAAACAGGTAACCAGTTCAGACCCTTTGAAGTAATTCAGGCCATAATGGTGGTGGCTGAGGAGGACTCTTTGGATGAGCTTGGAATCAAAAGGTGTTGATGGGCATTCCTGACAGATGGCTGGTGAGAGAAAAGAGGAGGCAAGGGCAACTCCAAAGATTGGACCTGTGATAGCAAAGTGAATTGTGGTGCCATCTCTTGAGATGGTTGAGGACAGAATTTAAGTTGAATTCTCTGTGGCCTTCATGATAACCTCATGCTTTGGCTTTGAATTGCTTTCTCCCTTCTTTAATTAATAACATGAGATGAGATACATTAATTCATCCATCCATCCATCCACCCACCCATCCATCCATCCAATTATTCACTCATTCATTTATATCATTTCACACACATTCATTAGTACAGATGAAGATTATTTAGATGTGCCCTTCCTTGTGAAGTCAGTGACCGGGGTGTCACTCACATGTCCCCTGGAGACTAGTTCCTCTCTCCACTTAAACCTTCTTATTCCTCATCCCAGAACTCAGCCCACTCCAGGCCGTGGCTGACTGTGGCATGATCCCCAACTACTGTGGTGAGGACTGCATTGCCATTGACAAGAAAAGCTGCCTCAGAAATGCAAAATTATTCCCTCCATCCTCTTCACCTCTAATCGAGGAGGAAGAATTATGACTTAGGGGGACAAAGTGACTCATCTAGGCCACACAGAGAACAAGTGGCAGAGTGGGATTTGAACCCTTGTGGTGGGACCCCAAGATAAACTACTCCAGCCTAGAGATGAGCTGTCAAGCTCCTGATGAGCTGCCTGTTCTTCCAGAACCCAGCAGGCCCCATGACCCAATCTAGTTTTGTTTTGTTCAGGCCAGGTGAGGTGCCCTCTATACTGTCCTCCTCCCATTCCAGAGATGGACCTCACTTTCCCCTTTGTGCTACATGGAGGAGATCCCATTTTTCACACAGCACCATCTCCTGCTGTGGGGATACAGGGCAGGCCATGGGCTAATAGGAGATGACCTCATGACACCAGCAGCCTCTCATCTCAAAAGGGCATCTGACCCCCGGGACCTGAGCCCATGTGCCATGCAGCCAGATGCTTGCTCTGTAGAAGTCTGGGAGGAGGATACTCTTGGCTTCAGGGAATCTCAGGTTCAGAGAAGCCAAGGCCACACAGAAGAGGCCCCTGCTGCTGACTCAGCTAATGCCTCCTCACAGGGCCCCTCTGATATCTGATCATTCAGGGGGTCCAGGGGTCTTCTGAAGAGCACAGAGAGGCCCCAAACTAGACTCTTGTGTGGAGCTTGGTGTAGCTTCACAGAGGAAATGATGCCTCACTGAAGCCAGAGAATCAGGAAGAGTTGGCTTAGGTGACAAAGTGAAGATGTTGAAAGACATCTGAGGCAGAGCAGGCAGCATGTGCAGAAGACCTTTGTGTGAAGATCATGAATGCGGAGATGAGGCTGCCTTTCCCATCCCAGTCCCTGTACTTATGGGCTGTGAATACTCTGCTTTTCTTGCCTTGGCTGCTACCTGTAAACCAGCAGATAACCACTTTTGCCTGAAAGGAGGGTTAAGTGGAAGAATAACAGGTTGGCTTTAAGATTCCTCCTCTCTCTGGGCTGTTCTCACTCTCATTCTCCCCGTGACTTCCCAGGTGTCAGTAAAATGATGTTTCAGCTTTGGAAGCTTCTTCTCTTGTGCTACTTGCTCCATGGGACCTCTGCAGGTCTTCTTCTCAATTTTGGCCATGGCCTGAGTAATCTTGTGGACCAAGTGAAACCTATTATCCACAATGGGCTTGAGACTGTTGACAATGTATCTGAAGGTGAGTCAGTGGGGTGACAATCGAAGGGACCCAGGAGTTACCTCCTAATCACTGTGCCTGCCATGCCAGGGGCTTTCCCAGGAGCTTCCCTTTGTGGGTGGGTTATTAAGAAAGGGACCTCCTCAGTTCCTGACTTGTGAACTTATTTATTTTGAAACAAACAATAAATATCCTTTAACATACTATATCTTGATAAACTTTGCCAGTGTATATATAGGATACATTTCTAAAAGTGAGATCTCTAAAGTTAAAAAATAATGCACATTTTACTTTATGGGAATTTTGAGAAATACCCTTGGTAACACTTCCTCCCATAGCCTGTGCGAGCATCTTTTGTCCCGCTCCATAGCCAGGACTTACTTTGACAACTTTCAATGCTTTCCCAGTCTAAAAGGCTGTAATTTCTTTCATTTTGCATTTCATCTCAAAAATTCTCTTGTTTTAAATGTATATGTTTACTATCCATTCACATATTTTAACTTCAGTATTTTCTCCATATTCTTACATACTTTTCTATTGGACTGTTGGAGTTTCCCTTGCTGATTGGTATTAAATGACTGGGAAATAAGGAAGTTACCCCTACTTAGTCCAGGTATCTACTAACCTACTTATACTCATGTTGAATTTTGCCTCCACTTTATGCTGTCTTATTAAAGGAACAAGGCTTTCTTTCCTTTACTTGCAAATACTAACAGCACACTGACAATCAGTTTTTATAGGAGGGGGAACCATCTGCAAATGACTGCCTTTGAAACTTTCTCAAGCTGTAGGCAGCTTGCACGGATGCAGGAAGGACACTCAGTCTCTTTCACAGCTGAGAAAACTGAAGCCAAGAGAAAAAGTGTCAGGACCAAGGCTACCTAGTGAGTTCTATAACCATGTATATCTTCAGCTTTATTCCATTGACATTCTGTCCATCTTTATACTAAGCAGATACTGACCACTGGGGAGCCAGGTTGCACTACTGTGATTTCATCTCTTTCGTTATATGGTTCTTTGTTTCTCCTTGAGTTAGTAATGGATTTGTTTTTCTCACTTGTATTATTTTCTGCACATATCTTTAATTCCTTTCATATTTCCCATCCAATATCTGCCATGTCGTTTATTTTATCTCCTCCCTCTGTTGTATGTTCATCTCCCATTAGGACACTTTGTTCTCCTCCTACTATAAAAATTATTCTTCTCTGGGACTCTTATTTGCCACCTTCATGGATTGGAGTCTATCTTAGTTACTTTTCTTATTGCTGAGACAAGACACCCAACACCCACAAGTTAAAGGAGGAAAGGTTTATTTTAGCTCACAGGTAGTAGAGGTTTCAGTCCATAGTCGGCTGGCTCCAGGATAGGATGGCATGGCAGAGGGATATAGCAGAGGAGAAACAGTCTATGGAGTGACAGGCAGGAGGCAGCCAGCAGCAAGCCTTCTGGACATTTACCCCATCTAGGGTACAAGCCTATTGGATGGTGCCACCCACAACCAGGGTGGGCCTTCCCATTATCCACAACCAGAGCTATGCTAAACCAACCAGTGGACTAATTTAGTTATCATACACTCTTAATCCATATTTACACATAATAGATCCAACCACCTCTGAAAAGCCCCACCTACGGGCATGTGAGGTTTTGGGGGGACATCTAGATACAAGCCAAAACAGAGCCCTATGTTTTTCCTTGGCTGTAGATTTTCCCATTTTCAGTTCATTTTCCCATTTTGTTTCACCTAGTTTTTCAAACTCATGTGAGCATGTCTTTAGCAATAGACTTCCAAGTTACCTCTAGGTGCATACAATTGAGATCAGTTTCCTGGCCAAACAATTGATTGCTTTGTTGATAAAGGATCAGTATGTATTGGTGTAGAGGCAGCATGAAAGTATCAAGGATCCCCTACCTCTGTGATTAGATACATTTTTTAACTTCCTTGAACCTTTATTTCCTCATCTATAAAACAAAGATAATTATGATACCTACTCACTAAATAATTTCAGGAATAAAATAAAATAACATGGGCAAATCGTCTTCTCTGATACCTGCAGCATAGTAGCTGCTTCCTAAGTGGTACAGGACACTAAATGGGGATTATATTGGCAGGTTTTCTGAATCTCAACTCAAGGGTGCTTCAGAATATCAGTGCTAAGAAGAAGATCCCAAGAATCGAGAATGTGGTGGAACTTGCCTTGCCTTACGTGCATCCAAGTCTGGAGAACCCTTTTGGGTGTGTTCATCCTTCCTGGTGATCTTTGTCCAAAAAGGGGGGGTGATACTTAGAAAGAAAGGGGAGGTAAGTTTAAGATAAAAGTAGATGAATCATCCTTTCTGTCCTCTGCAGCCCTGAGATGCTCTGAGGCCAGGCCTACCAAACTTGAAAAAAATTAGAGGCAGGGCTACAGGGCAGTATGGGGATCTGTGGGTTTGGGGGTCCCATATTTGTAATTTTAGGTTTAAAGCAGAGGTTCAATACATCCTTGCCTCCCCGTGTGCTTGTATCTAAAGCTCCTTTCCAAAGAATGAACATGTCTTCTCCAAATACAGCAGAGGATAAAAGGCTAAATCTCCATTCAGGGAAGGGAAATCCATTCTACTTAGATAGTGGAATGACCCAGATAGTGACTTGACCCATGGAGTTTTGGAGTCAGATCTGGGTTGAAAATGGGCTCCGGCACTTACTGTTCCCCTTGAAGACTATCTCATCTGTCAGAGGCTCAATCTGCTGTGCCCTGAAATGCAGAGCACCACACTTCTGAAAAGGGTTGGGGGCCCAGGAAAGATTCACAAGGGCAAGGATGATGGGGCCCAAACGTGCAGTGTAACACTAGTATGGAGGACTTTATAGATGGCTGTCCAGGGAATAACAAGGGACCATGGTGGGTTTTGAGCAGGGTGAAAATCACCAAGACTGTCATCAGGGACATCCAAGCTGAATGGGCAGCAGATGGAAGAAGTATCAACCTGAGGTTTCTGGCCACTGCTAATGTCACTGTGGCCCTGTGAGTATGTGTAGTCAGACCTGGGAGAGGCGGTGGGAGCATGGCTGGTAAACCCTAACCTAGGAATTGTCACCTTCCTAGGAGACTATGTGGCTTTGGGCCTCCAATTTCCAATTTGTAAACAAGGAAAAGTTTCCAGGTCTAGAATCCCAATCTTTAAAAAAGTCTAACTTTCTCTGGTCATAACCTAATCTCTTCTAAAAGAATGCTGCATATTATATGTTTCTGAAATTACAATCTAATTAAATAATTATTATCTGATTGTTAAATTATCTAATTGCAAAATTAAGATGACATAAATACTTACAATTCTTTGGCAAAATTTCTTCCATTGTTATTTCATTTTTCAAGATTCTCTAAGTACCACTGATCATTACAGATTAATGTAATAATGTGCATAATATAATAAGCACATACAATAAATATAACATTAAAGTATTTTAAATTTAGAAGAGACAGGCAGGAAAGTGGTGGGAGAAAGCTTGTGTAAAAGAATTTCTCTAGGCTGTGGTTGTAGCTTAATGGTATAGTGTTTGCCTAGCATGTGTGGACAGCTGGTTCCATCCCAGAACCACACAAATGAAAAAGTGAATTTCTATAAAGTAAATACATTAATATGAAGTCTTGAGTTAATTAGTTAACCTCTCTGTACCTATGAGGCCAAATTTCAAAAGTAGAGCATGATTCCTCTCATAGCATTGTTGTAATGATTAAATGGACTAAACCAGGTAAAATGCTTTTTAAATGTACTTTAAAATGCCTATGAATCATTTGTACTCAAAATGTTAACTGTTTTTTAATTACCAGTGTAATGTTGAATAAAATTTTCCCATGAATTGAACCCAAGTGGCTCAGAAAAGAAACCCTAATGGAGACACATAAATGCCATAAAGAATGTGTACCATGTTGTCATTCTCCAGGCAATGTTGACATTGCCAACAGACCTCTTGGAAAATGTCCACACAGGTGCAGAAACAGGAGTGGGCTGTGTGTGGACCTCCTGCTTTCTGGTCACTGTGAATCCTATTTCCTATAGCCCCCTCGTTTGCAAGAGGGTCAACCTGGAGGTCTCCTTGGACCCCCTGGCTGGAATCAGGCTTGTACCAGTACCTCAGACCAATCTTTTCACCGTGGTTGTGGGAGAATTCACTGTTGACCCAGCCAGCATCACAGTCTCCTTGCTGGACAGGTAAGGCCTATCCATCTCTGTAGAGCTGTGCTCTCAGAGGGTAACAATGATCCTACTCTTAGGCTTCTGAAACAAGGAGTGGAAAAATATAAATGTTCAGCATACAGCCTGGAGCACAATAAGCTCTCAGTAGTCGTAGTATCCATGCTGTCAATTGACTGTCTGCATCACCGATACAGGATGTTGACTTTTCCAGCCAGACTTGTGAATTTGCCTGTTTTGTCTTTCAGCTCTGTCAGTGTTTGTTGTATCTGTTTAAAACATTGTGGTTTGGTGCATGCATGTTGAGGATTATTGTGTCCTCTGAGAGAACTGACCCCTCTATCATTATGTAATGTTCCTCAGTAATGTTAATAATATTAAACTTGTATTTACCCTCTTCCCTGCAATTGGGAGGAGTGGGCAGATGAATGCCTATCATGGGCTCTGATTTCAGATTTCCTCAAATCATTATTCACCTATTGGAAAATCCTTGAAATGAATTTATCCTTTATTCTCTCCTGGTTCTAGTTAATCTGTAAAAAATACATCTTAGTCATGTGCTTTAAAAAGCAAGTTGGTCACAGACAAGAAGTTGAAAAGAGAAAAGGTGACCATGGTCAGTAGCTGGGAAAGAAAACTAGTCTGGAACCTGAGGGCTGGTGCTGGTTGTCTCTGACCAGGTACAAGATTGGATTCTTGTTTCTCACCCATAATGACCATGACTGGAGGTCACTCGACACTCCCTCTATCAAGGAATCTGATCCCAGGCTGCCTGAAGACCCCTAAATCAAGAAAGGCACCATGGTTGGATGTTAGTATGGAAGGCTGGATGCAAATTCAGAGCCCTGCACCCTGCTGGACACTGCCTTCCCAAGCAGGCCCAGGGAATTGTACTTGCTATTCTTGGTCCGTATATACCTATCAAATGACACACAGCTGCTGCTTCAAATCCTCTCCAGCCTCTTCTGTATACATTGAAACAATCCCATGGCCATGTAGACTGCCCTTGATTTCAACCGACCCTCATTTTTCTGTCCTACCATAGGACCTTTGCAGGGACCATTCTGGCTACCTCTTATACCTTTCTCCTCACTCCATTTCAGTGCACCTCCTCATTTTTAGGGAGATTCCTTTTGTTCTCACTCATTAAAGTCCACTCTGAAGCCCTGACCGGTGAGGAGAGATGAGGTCCCATCCTGTGGAGCTTGTCCTGATGGACAGGCAGCCAGAGGAATGATCAGTTCATCCCCTGAGGACCCTCAAGGACAGAGCCCAGTCCTATGCAGCCCATGACACTGAACAGGTCACTATAATGGCCAAACCTTCCCCGAGACAACCTGTCAGAGCCATCCATGGGAGGCGATAGTTATGCTGAGGGCAAATGTGGGAGGAGGCAGCCTTGGCAAATTTGTCTATTTCCAGGTTTGAGGCTGCTTGTCCTTTGCTCATCCTATTGTTCTGAGGGCCCAGCTGAGTGCCTGGCATGTAGTTGATGCTCTGAAAATGTGGCATGAATGATGAATGAATATGAATGAATGAGGTCTCGGGGTTGGGAGAAGACTCTGGGCACAAGTTGAGCCATTGGCCAGGTGTGGGATGCTAAGTGATGGTCCATTTGGATGCAGCTCTGTGTGAAGCAAGAAAAGTCAGGCAGGTCTGGGTCACCTATCATCCAAGTGCTGCCCTTGGCTGCCCTGACCACTTGCCAGGCCTTCATTCCTTCCATATTTCTCCCAGAGCTGATGACATGATCAACAAGGCCATGGACTCAACAATTGGTGTTCTGAAGATGATCGTTTCTACCTTGTTACAGAAGCAAGTGAGTCCCACATTCCCTGGGGCACAGAGCCAGGCCTGGTGGTTGGCTGGGTGGCATCTTCAGCCCTGTCCATATTCTCTGGACTTTTCTGTTGGAGGTACCAACATCTCTTTGGGAGATCAAGGGGAGCCCTCATCTCCATAACTCTGACTGAAGGGTGAGGAGGGGTTGATAGTAGTGGCCATCACTGGATCCCACACGGAAGCCCTTTGCCATGTCCATTCACTGCCACTATGCATCATCTAAAGCACATTGCTCTGAGTTGCAATGCAAGGGGCCAGGGAAGAGGCAAAAGCAAGAATGGGTTTCACCTTTTCCCTAGCAGCAAACTGAGCCCTTGTCTCAGTCATGGCACCTTTAAAATGCCAGATTTCCCAAGTTCAAGGGTTTCAAGACCCTGGGGATGTGAACACTCTAGATTCTTGATGTTATAGAATTCTGATGTTCTAAGATTTAGGTGATAGGACCCTAGGGCTCTCAGATTTCAGACTGCTAGGATTCCATTGTGCTAGAATCCGAAGTGCACAGGTCTCAGATCCCTAGGCCTGAGTCTGTCTGTGGATAGCACAGAGTGTGTCCCCAGTTAAGAACCATCTGTCCTTAGCCTCCTGCCCTCTTCTTTCTCTTCTTTCTCTGGCTCTCAGTTATGCCCATGGATCCAAAGCTCATTGGATGGCCTGCAAGTGAACTCTCTTGAGGGCATATATGGTAAGTCACAGGGCAAGAAAAAGGGTGCTTTCCAAGGGCAGCCTGCAGCTCTGGGCTTGCCCTAGCAAGTCTGCTCAGGAGATCTAGAGTAGCAGAAAGACCCACCTTCCTGGGCAAGGTGGGGGCTGAGAGTTCTTTTCTTGCACTTGGGGACTGTCTGTAGCCTTCAGGTCACCAGGCATGGTGGGACTGCCTGACTGCTGGGCCAAATGAAATGAAGCAGCACAGATGCCAAGGCCCTGGAGGTGGCTCTTCTAGGAAAGGCCATGAATCCAGACACTTGGGTCATCACTCTGACTTGTGGAGTGGGTACTGTCCTCGTACTCATTTTACAGGTGAATAAACTGAGCCTTGGAGAGGTAGTACAACATGTCTGAGAAACCACAGCTGCCAGACTGACCAACTGAAGGGTGGTGGTTATTGGGGTGTGATCTTTCTTCAATCTTCCAGTGGTAGAGACTGAAGCCTGCTCTTGATTCTTTTCCTTCAGCTGGACTTCAACATCCAATTGCCCTACAGTCTCCATCTGAAGAGGATGGATGAAAGGACCACTGTGATGTCACCTGTTGGTGAGGGGCCAGCTCTATGCCCAGTGCAAGGGGCCTGTGGAGAGGGAAGGGGAAGCTGGGCTTCACCTCTTTTTCCAGCAGTGGACTGAACCTGTGTTTTGGCCCCAGCTGATCGCTGATTCTGGTTACAATCTGAACTCTGAGCCTAGATCACACACTGAGTCTGAGCTCTGATTATAGCCCCAGACTAAGAGCACAGATCCAAGTGATAGTCTGAGTTTAACGCTGGTTATTAACTGAGCCTCAACTTTGGTCACACTCTGACCATAATCTTAGGCTGACCCATGGTCCTGATCAGGTACTGCAGCCTGACCCTGGATCCAGTGATAGCTGACCTCTACTCAGTCTTTTCCCATTGTCCATTTTTTCCCATAAGGGGAGAATAAAGGTAATGAGTCAGTGCTAGCTACCAGGGAAAGACCCCAAACCCTAGGTGCCACTCCCCTCCCCAAGGCCTTAGATCACACAGAGTAAAGTGGGAAAGAGCCAGGACTGTGGGTCCAGGCCAGTATGAGTCCAATCACATGTCCCATGACTGGCATCTCCTACGGCTGCTGTGGTTGCAAATGTCCTCCCCCCCCGCCCCCGACGTCTCATTCCAGGTAGATATCCAGGGGCCTTACCTTGCTCCCTCATCTCATCTCCCTCTGGGAAGGTAGGAGCACCACCCAACCAGAGCAACTGCCTGAGCTGGCCAAAGGCACCTCCCAGACACCCCATCTCCTTGTGTGGGACAGTGGTGTCTGTGCTTTTCTCTCCTCCTGAAAATAAACACCCATTTCTGCATTCTCTGTGTGGCTTGCTGCTGTCTCATCATTTGGGACAGTTGGTGGGAATCAGGGTGACATGTGCAGTGGCAAAGACTTGAATCTTGAGATGAAAGAGACAATGAGAAATATCCAGCCCCACCTCCTTGTTTTTCAAAACAAGAGAAAAAAAAAGAAATGGGACACACAGCCTTTTTGTGGCAGTGACAGAGTCTTGGATCCATTTAGTCTCACTTCCAGCAGTGACATCCAGGCAGCAGTGAGAACATGATAGTCACCCCAGCTAGTGCTTTCCTTCAATCCTCCCCGGGAACCCTGAGGACCTGTGGAGAATCAGGGACCACTTAGTCTGACAGAGTGCAGGACCATAGGGCACAGTGACCTGTGGACAGAGTCCCTATCCCCTCTGGCCCCTCCCTTAAGTCTGAAGGGTGTGGGTTCCCCTGGAGCTGGGGACTCTTCTCCAGGCAGTGCTGAGGTACCCATTGTATCCACTCCCAGAAGTCCCTATATCTCCCATCAACAGCCCTGAGCACCTGGGCACCTGCCTGCCAGGCTGCATGGAGGTCCTGCCTTCCTAGTGAACTCGGTCAGACCTAGGGGCCACTTCCTGCCCCATGGGTACTAGATCTGTCTTCTGGCCAAGGCCCCTCCATCCGCAACCCAGAATTCAGCTCATTTCAGGTTGTGCTTGGTGGCTCACAGACTGTGTCACTCTGCTGTGTGCATTGACACCGCCATAGAGTACTTTCTCAGGACTACACAGGAGTCCACTCCATCCTCACCACCCTTTTTCCAGGTGGAGAAATTGAAAGTTACAGAGGTGAAATCCCTCATCCAGGAAATGCAGAAGGCAAATGTTAGAACAGGATTTGAACTCATGCTTATGGAGGCACTGGGCATGTAACCCTGGCTCAGGTGTGATGTCACAGCTCTCATTAGCTACGCCATTACCCAAGGGGACTCAGATCACTGCCCTGCTCTCTTTGCTCAGGCCAGATGAGGTCCCTTCCATGCTGTTCTCCTTTAGTGTCTGTGCTGGCTTCAGTTTCCCCTGTGCACTGCAGGGAGGAGACCTTACCTCTTCACGCAGCCAAGATAGTTTCTGTGGACTGCAGCTTGGGTGGCATGCCAACGAGAGGCAGCCTCAGAAACCCAGCAGCCTGTCCTCTCAGGAAGGGATCTGACCCAAGGACCTGAGTACACATGTCACCCAGCTGTCTCCTTCCTCTACACAAGGGGAGGGGGCTGCTCTCAGCCTCACGAAGCTTGTGTTCCTAGAGTCCAAAGCCACACTGAGGCTGGCCCAGGGGCAGTCTCCTAGGGCTTCCTCTCAGACAGGGCCACATCCTTAGTCCGGTCACTTCAGGGACCCCTAGAGCCCTTGGCATAGCCAGGAGTTACTCCAACCCATGGCCCAGTGCCCTCTCAAACCTCTTGCTATGGCCTCAGCTCAGTACCTTGCCACTGTGCTCTGCCTGGTACAGGGTAAGGCCAGGGAATCAGCAGGAGTCACCTGCCACTTTCTAACACTGTGACCCTGCGCAAGGGACTGAACTCCCTACAACCTCAATTTTCTCACCTGCCAAATGGAATTAATAGAACAGCCTTAGTCCCAGGGCTTGATGAGGAATAAATGCACCAGTGAACAGGAAGTTGAAAGTCCCACACACCCAGTGAGTCTGGTGAAGGTCAGCTCTGCACACTGCAGGGAAATTGCTGTGATGAGCTCTACTCTGTGTTTGTTGACTGGTAAGAACTGACAGGAGAGAGAATCATAGGCTAGGGAGATCTTGGGGTCTCACCTTGTCTCTGGGAGGTGAGACTGCTAACTGCCCCTCCTTTTTATTCTTCTCCCTTCATAGCCTGCTAGCCATCAATGTCACCCCTTAGCCTCCTTTGCAGTTAACTGTGACATAGGGCTCCAGTCTGGCCAGTGGTGTAGATGCAGACACAAGGTGCAAATTCCACTTTGTGCTTAAAAACACAGGCGATTCCCTCTGCTTCTTCCTCACCTCCCGCTTCTGTCCAGTCAGACTGGGAAACCACAGGAGCCACTGCCCTGGACCCCAAGTGGGAGCCATGCTTTGAGGAAGGCACAGCTGTCCCAGTAATCCAACAGGGCTCTTACGGGAAAAAGGAACACACTTCCTTATTGAAACCACTGCGCTTTCGGTCTCCTTGGTAAGGTGGATTTGTGTCTGCTGTGCCTATCTCACACTAACAATGACGTGCTGTGTCACATGGGCTGCTAACTTCCCCTCTCTGACCCCCATTTTCCAATCTGCACAGAGTTACTGGAAATCCCTTTCTAATCCAACAGGGTAGAACTTCAAATCCTTCCAGAGCTGAAGGAGCCAGAAATAGCATTCATTCAGTTACCACAATATGTCAGAATTAGACCCTTTATCCTCAGCCTTGGGTGACTTTTGTCATCTATGACACTTTGGGCAGTGTCTAAAGATATCTTCAACTTGCATGTGTTGAGTAGAGGTGCCACTCACCACCCCATAATGCACAGGATAGCCCCTCACAGCAAGAATTATGCAGTCCAAATGTCACTATTGTAGTGACACTCTGCATTAGACCTTTATGAACCTGGCCTCACTGGGCTCTGACAGAGTGAGGGGCTTTGTGAGGAGCTGTGGCAACTGAGACCCTGAAAGGTGAAGTGATTTCCAGTGGCCCCAAGGCTGGGGACAGGCCACATTGGCTGATCTAACAACAGCCTCCCACATAGTGAGTCTTCCCTGCTGTCAGTGAGAAGAAAGACAGGGCTTGTTCAGCCTATTGTGTGATGACAATCTCGCCTCCCACAGCAAGCATACATGAAGTGCTCCCAAGCCAGGGCTCTTTTGGGGCAGACGAAACTCAGTGTAGTGTCCAAGTCTGAGTCCCTGCTATCCCAAGCCCTGGGATGCCTGTTTTGTCCCTCAGCAGGTGGCTAAATCCTCTTCAGCCTCAAGCCTCCAGACAAGTATCATCTATATGGGGACTGCTCCTTACTTACCTCAGATGACACCATGCTCCCCAAAAGGTCATGTATTGGAAAGTTAGTCTTGAAATTAACATGCTAATGGTACTTGGAAGGAGATATTGGGAGGTAATTACCTTCCCATAAGGTCATGAGGACGAGCCCATGCTGGCAGTAGAGGTTTCATAAAAAGGGAAAGAGCACAGAGCTGGCATGCAGATCTGTCGCAGCATGTGACACCTGTCCCATATCCTGATGCAGCACCAAGGCCCTCTTCAGACACCCAGCACATTCTGTGTGGTGGTCGTGATCTTTGCAGACTCCCCAAGGGTGAGCCTAACCTTCCATACTGGATCTATGGCCTGGTCTCAGGCATGTTGTTACACCAACAAAAATGGGCTGAGACAGAGAATTGCTGGTCGCTTTGTCCTTAGTGCCCAATGCATGGAGACCACCTCCAAGGTCACCTCTTGGGATGCAACTTTTCCCTCCTCTGATGCTTCTTTCTGCTCCGCCTGCCTGGGGCTCCTGGGGTCCAGGGCTTAACTCCTCTCAGCAGTCCCAGTGCCTCTTTGCTCTTGATTCTTAATATATACCTGGACAAAAGCCCCCAACAGTAGCCATGCCACTGCCTCAACATTAGACTACCTTGAAATTTCTTCTGCCAGATTAATTAGTCCATTACCCTTAACTGCAGTCTCAGGCAGTCTCTGGACATGAGCAAAACACAGACAAAGTTTCTGCCAAGCCTAAACACACATGTCTGGAGTCTAACAGCTAACACAGCCCTTCTTCCCAACAGAATCCTACAGAGCAGGGTCTTTACTGGCAGCATTTCTATCAGCTTTCTCATCTGCTGAGCTCTGATCAGAATCTCCCATCAAGTACAGCTTAAGGCATTCCAAGGCTGCTTTTTCATCCAGATTCTCTGAACCTTTCCAAAATCTTCCCATAAGCCAGTTTCAAAAGCTCCCGAACCACATGGTCAGGTATAGTCACAGCAATGATCCCACTTCTCTGGCACCCAATTCTCTTAGTTACTTTTCTGATCATGGATACAAAATATCTGATACCCAAAGTTAAAGGAGGAAAGGTTTATTTTGGTTCGTAGTTTGTAGAGGTTTCAGTCCATAATCAACTCGCTCCAAGGCAGGGTGGCACAGCAGAGGGGGCATCGCAGAGTAGAAGATTACAGCAGCAGCAGCAACAAGTGACAATAGCAGCTTCTTTCTGTCCTTTTATATTCTATCTAGGCTATCCGCCCTGTCTTGTCCACTATAATCATAGTACTTGAAACATTAGCAAAAACTATTAGGCAAGAAAAAGAAATAAAAGTGACATGTATATGAAAGGAAAAAGTCAAATTATCATTATTTGACATGATCTTCTATATAGAAGACCATCAAAATTCACCAAGACTGGGCTGGGGATTTAGCTCAGTGGTGCCACTGCCTGCCTTGCAAGTGCAAGGAACTGAGTTCAATCCCCGGTACCAAAAAAAAAAAAAGAATCAACAAACTAGGGCTAGGGATTTAGCTCAGTGGTGCCACTGCCTGCCTCGCAAGCGCGAGGTCCTGAGTTCGATCCTCAGTACCAGAAAAAAAAAGAACAAATGAGGTCATAACAAATTTAAAGAGCTTCTGGACAGCAAAAGAAAGAACAGAGTGAAAAGACTACACAGAATGAGAAAAGAATTTTGCCAGCTATTTCTCAAACAGAGGACTAACATCTAGAATATATAAAGAACTAAAAAAAATTAGACCCCCTAAAATAAAAAAAACTAATAAAATGCATATAGCATTCCTTGCAGAATTAGACAAAACAACCCTGAAATGCATGTGGAACAAGCAGAGACCCAGAATAGAGAAAATAATTCTGAGCAACAAAAACAAAGCAGAAGGTGTCACAGTCCCAGACTTCAAGTCAGATTATAAACTACAGTGATAAAAACAAGATGATACTGGCACAAAACAACTCCAGGCAAATTCAGTCACCTGATCTTTGAAAATGAGGCCAAAAACACACACTGGA